ATTGAAATGGTTAATTTAGGACTGATGTTTTAATCTACACACATAAACAACACAAACTTATTGACCACCAAAGGAACCGAAAACAATCTTTTGGGGATTGTGGCAGTTGGTTAAGGTTTTTCATACGTTTTGCCATTCCCTTGATAGTCCTTTGCTTTATTACTTTTCTTCTGTTAACAACCTTTGAGCTTAATATTTCCATATATTAATTACCTGTAAGGCATTTTTTAAAAAAGTTCCACCACAATTGAAATTCCAACAAGAGGTGTCGTTCCTTTTATTTCCTGGGTTCGGGCATTTTAAAGGGGTTCCGACAGCACGGCCACGCCACATCTGCCTCAGTATCCAGTTATTCAGTCAACTCCAGTTAAACCGACACACAGGCAGCAGTGTGGTGATGTGGGGGGGAGGGAGGGGAATGTTAACTGCTGTATTAGAAATACAGTAGCTATAAACTAGGCATTTCATTTGACTCTTGTTTGCATTTATCAGCTTTAAACTTGTTTAGTCATAACAATAGATTATTTTATTTCTGAATTATATCTTCGATGAAGCACATCTTGTCTTTACTCATACAGAGAAAGTTACTGTTGTCATATTTAAGTTCAGCAGCCAAATTTGTAACAGCATCTGCTTAATCTTTTTAAATTGCCTCCCAGTAAATATTCATGTTTTAAATTTAAAATGATTTTAAACACTCACATCACCACATCAGTTCATTGGCCCTTTATGATTGTTTTAGTTATCTTTTAAGAATTGTATGTTTCAGTTTTTGGTCTACTATCACATCTATTTTGTGTCTGAAGTTTATATTTGTGTAAAAAGGTTTAGGCAGGTGTGAAAAAATGCTGTGAACTAAGAATGCTGTCAAAAATTTAGTTTTTTTTATCAATTAACAAAAATATATACAGAATAAATTCAGGGCCAGTCAATGATGGTATTGCATGATGGATAAGTATCCGCCTGTATTTCTCAGTATTGAGGAAACCATTATGAACTGAACAAAGCTCCAACTCCATTTGCAGAAATGCAGCCATAAACTTGCAAGGAACCTCCACCATGCTTCACTGTTGCCTGCAGACACTCATTATTGTACCGCTCTCCAGCCCTTCGGCGAACAAATGGTCTTCTGCTAAAGCAAAATGTTAAAAAATTTGACTCATCAGTGCAGAGCACCTGCTGACAGTTCCTATGTTTTCATGCATAGTTGAGTCGCTTGGCCTTGTTTCCATGTCGGAGGTATGGCTTTTTGGCTGCAACTCTTCCATGAAGACCACTTCTGGCCAGACTTCTCCGGACAGTAGATGGGTGTACCTGGGTCCCACCTTGCTGATGCAGTATAACTACCATGTGTCTTGTTACTGTGCTCAGTCTTGCCATGGTGTATGACCTGTGACATGAAACTGTCTTCCACAACCTCACCTTGGTAGCAGAGTTTGGCTGTTCCTCACCCAGTTTTAAGCCTCCTACACAGCTGTTTCTGTTTCAGTTAATGACTGTGTTTCAACCTACATGTGAAATTGATGATCATTAGCACCTGTTTGGTATAATTGGTTGATCATACACCTGACTATAATCCTACAAAATCCCTGACTTTGTGCAAGTGTACCTATAAGAACTGATTGGTTTGAAGGGAAAGGGTAGAAACACCAAATATAGATTTGATTTAGATTTTTCTTTTGTTCGCTCACTTTGAATTTGGTAAATTCATAAAAATAAATATTTTTGAAAGCATTCTTAGTTTACAGCATTTTTTCACACCTGCCTAAAACTTTTGCACAGTACTGTATATAAAGGTGAATATTAAGTGTTATACTTTGCAAAAACAGTCCTTACTATACATCGATGTGCTAATGGTGTATGTTTGTGTGCGTACTACTTACAGTGCCGTCTCCTCCACAGGCTAGAATCCTCAAGTTATGGACTTTACGATACAACTCCAGGCTACAAGATTGACACGAGTTAATGGTCAATTCAGCCAAACAAATCGGACATCAGCAGTAGCTGTTCACTGATTCACTGTTGTTGGTGTGTGTGTGTATCACTGCTTCAGGAAATCTTACTAAGGCTGTAAATGCAATGGCAGATAAAGCTCGTAGAGCACATTACAATATAAGTAAATTCCTATTCAAACTAAAACCCCCCAATAAAGATTTGGCTAAAAATTTTCAAAAATGTTATTGAACAAATACTTTTATATGGAAGTGAAGTGTCCCATTAATTAAACAAAAGCACTGGGACTGAGAACAAAACGCATATGTACCCATTGTGACACAGGAGAAGTTGAAACTGATTAATTTTCTCACAAGTTGTCCAAAATACAAAGAAATTAGAAAAAAATAATTAGAGAGAGAGAGACCTACCCCTCCTTTGGTCCTCCTTGGCTCAGGTCAAACACCTGTCTGGGGTTCAGATACCACATGAAGGACTGCAGTATCTTTGTGCCCTGTCAGACAGAGAGACCAATAGGATGTTGGAAGACTAGGGAATAACTGAGTAACTAGTCCTGATCATGTAATTGTGTGTTCTAGATTAAAAGTAGTGTAATGTTTCTTCAGGCTGATCCAGGATAACTGGTTTGTTCATAAATACCTGGTTTCCTCCACTCTTGGGGTTGACAAAAACCAGTAGTGGTTTCATCAGTGGTGAAGGGATGGGTCGGATTATAAACGGCTTCCACTGACGTCCTTCCTGTCAAAGAAGAAGATGATCTGATCAGATCCTCTATAGCAGAGATTGTATATTCAGGCTGTCTAACCTGGGACTGGTCTACAGGCTGGTGTCCCTAAACATTGAGCGGACAAGCTAAATGTCCTCTATGACTATGAGCAGAAAAGGATGCACACAGAGTTGATGTTTGGAGAGAGAATGTGACATAATTTTAATCATATTAACAAAGACCTAGTGGAGAAATCAAAAGTGCAATGACTTTTAACTTGGCATAATGTACTCTCTCCTTTTCTACTTGTACATGTGTATCTGTATATTGTCATGTGAAATATTTCTGTTTCTGTTACCTGGCTATGGGGGGAAATGAATGAACACACAAAGCACACAGGTTTCCCATTCACCTCCGTGAATAAATGGGAGTTGGTCCATTTTTCTGGGAAAACTCTACACTGTGTCCACTTTTCTCCTTTTTGACAAAGACATTTTGAGTAATGAGTGTTATAAGAGTAGCATAGCTCCTTAAAGGGGTAGAGCAGTGCGCATGTGCGAGCGTAACGTGTGTGTGTGAGTCTGTGTGGTAGAGCGAGTGACGGTGAACGCCAGCAGAGCAGAGAGAGACACGGGTTAGCCATAAGTTATCAGGTCTAGCAGTAAATGTACAGTGTGAGTTACAGTTGTCGGTGAATAAAGTTTAATAAAGCATTGTGCTATGTTGGATACTCTGTCTTCTCTGTAATTTTCACACTAAGCAAAGTCATCCCGCCGTAAATTTGACACCTCTGCTCTAGAGGGTCACAATATAGTGCAGAACTGACCTCTGCTCCTTTCTTGCTGCTTTTCCTCTTGAACGATGTTCTCTTCTTTTTCTTACTTGACTTCAAAGATGACTGTTAAAGACACAAAACAAACAGCAGCTGCAGATTGATTTCATGAGCAGAGAGGATTATGTGATGCAGATTATTTTCAGGGGGGAGGGAAAAAGTGTTTTGATAACTTTGATGCTGGATGCCACTATATTCCACATACTGGTCCTTCATATATAAGCACAGGGATGTCAAAACAAACCAGGTTAAGAGTAAGTGAAAGCAGTGTTACCTGATGGCGTCGGACCCGAATGATCCATGTGGGTGGAACTATAAGGGCAGCGTGAGCTCCTATTGGACAAGCCTCCTCAATTTGCTGCAGCATGAAGCAAGACACCTTGTTGTGGTACTAAAGAGGGAAAACACCATTAGAATATATTCATTTATTGGGAACTGTAGATAAAAAGATTTTTTGTGGTAGTTCAGCTTAAAAGCTCCAGTGTTTAACATTTTGGAGGAACTATTGGCAGAAAAGGAATATAATATTGTGTATTTTCATTATTGTATAATCCCTGGAAAATAGAAATCGCTGGAGGGAGGGTTAAATAGTTGCTAAATGCATAAACACTTATCACTTAAGTCAAGTCAAATGATTGTCTTGTCCCAGTGTATAACTTAGTCCTTTCTCCAAACATACTCACAGCCTGTTTGCACCAGGAGCAGCTGATGGCCACAATCTCTTTACTGTGGAAAGCAAACTTCTGCTGAAAGCCCTGCACAAAAAAACAGGAACAAAGGTTCTTTTGTGCTTTACTATTAAACTACCAGATTTATATGTATTGAAAGGCGTACTCAAGCAATAACACTTCCATGAATTTGGGGGACTTGAAAGAGAGAAAGAATGTTTTTAGTGTAGCCTACAAATGTTAAAAAAACTGTATGACATGCAAACATTAAAATGATTCTTGATAAATTGTTGCTCAATAGCAAAATACTACCAGAATTAGGACCCACCTTCCCACATTGTTTGCATTTCCCTTCTTGCCGTCTCCGATGCACCCAGTGATGACGCACCACAATGGGCTGAACACACACAAACAACATAAATCGTCAGAGAAACCAATAGGATCATTCTTAATTAGCCCACTTTTTAGAACGTTGGATCAATGACTGTTGTTTTTAGTATGAAGAACATACAAGTCACTCATACATTAGTCACAGTGAAAACAAGGTCGAGCTAGAACAGCAGCAATGTACATCTGTAGAAAGAAATTTCCAGAACTCACCTCTCGAATGTTCCTAGAGCCTGCTTCTCTGAAAGACGGTTTACACCTGAAATTAATCTGAGGAAGAACAGAGGAAGAGTAGAGAGGTGTAAATACATAAATGATAATTGGGCTTCTAACTTGCTGCAGGAATCACACTGGTTACTGTGAGAGAAGAAAAAAGCATGGAGCTCCACGACAGAAAGCTATTAAAACATGGACACACCTGTATAGCCATGATTGGAAGGATTTTAAATGATCAGGTTGGCAGTTAGTATATATTTAAGAGAAAAAAGCAGTTCGACCAAAGAGGTTCAGACTTTGTAGCAGTGAAAGTAGGCTCCACAATTCCCCATTTTGAAGTGTGCACAGAAAAGAAAAAACAGGGCCACCTTGACCTGAGGAAGGATACCACCAGAAGCAATGGCACTTGCAGGCCTCATACACACTTTCTCGTATTAAAGATAAACAGAACAGTAAGGTTTAACATTTTCGGCAAGAAATAGGCAATGCATTGTGTAACTGCAGTCAGTTGCTTTCAGTGATGACACTAACTGTTGATAATTCATGACTCATAATTCAATAGGAAGTAGTTAATGAATGAGGGAGAGATTTCAGACACAGCCAGGAGTTAACAGCCTCCCCCATTTATGACTAATGACCAATGAGCTGTCTCCACATCAACAGTAAAGTCTATCAGCTGATAGAGAGAGTGGGATGTGGTTGAAAGTGGCTAGTAAATAGACCGTGTGTTGTTTTTGTCAGCCATACACAGCCATATACATTTCCAGTCAGCATTGTTTGCTTTGTCTCTGTGACCAATCCTGATTCCTCTTTGCTGTTGTCTCCACATCTAATGAAAGTAGCCTGGTATCACCCTCCCTGTGATCTCCTTACCCTTTGAAATCAACAGAGCCAACCCCTTCAAACCTGTCAGATTTATTATACCACTATGAACAACAAATAAATTATATGAAAAGACAGAAGATTCCCTGTGATTTAAGGAGAAGAAAATTACCCTTTTTTGATGTTACAGGAACAAAAGAGGAGTTTTTCAGATGATGTGTGTCTGACATGGATTAGATTACTTTTCAATTTACTCAAATTAAAAGGTCCGGTGTGTAGGAGTTAGTGATATCTGGCAGTGTAGTTACAGATTACAACATCCTCGCCTCACCCTCCCGTTTTATGTAGGAGAAACTACAATGGCCACGAAACTCAGTGTTTGGTTTGTCCGTTCTGGGATACTGTAGGTGTAACATGGCAGTCTCCACAGAAAAGGACCCGCTTCCTCTGTGGATAAAAACATTCTATGGTAACGAAAATACAATACTCTTATTTTCAGGTGGTTATACACTAATGAAAACACACCTATGAATATTATATGCCAGAATATCATTCTAAATGTTATACACTGGACCATTAAAAGTGGATTATCCACAAACTTGCTTTCCTTTATAGAATAAATGCACTCTGTGTTTCCCAGACACTGCAGTGTTTTTTTTTTGGGCAGCAGGCCCCCATACATTTGTCCCCACCTACAAGGATTCTTTATGTTTTGCTCCAAATACACTGTCATCCTGAGGGAAACACTGGCTTCTTGATTAACTGATTGAAGCAAGGTCCAGACACCACCTCTGTGTTTCTGTCAGATTGAAGGTCACAGACAAGGAGAGAGGAGGGAAAGAAGATGCTTTGCATATCTCACTCTAAAGTTGGGGTCATTGAGGGGCAGGGTGGCATCCAGCAGAATGGCTCTAGAGCTGGGGAACTGCAGGTTAGACAGTAGGGACAGTTCAAATGTGCTGTCCTCTGCTTCACAAATTAAAATGAATTAAAATAAATGAATAAATGAATTATCAGTTAACTGCTGAAAAGCAACCATCCTTTAATCCATTTTTTGATTTCCATCCTAACTGGACGATGGAAGTAATCCTTCTTTTCACTTCTCCCTGATCTTAAACTCATGAGGACTGAAAGTTTAATCCTTCTTTATTCTTGCCTCCATCCCATTTTGTCCCTCATAAAAGATCCTTATTTAATCTTTTTCCCCCAGCTGTATCTGTCTGTGATGACTGAAGTTTTTTTTATATGGAGCCAGGACACTGACTTTAAAATTTGGCATCTAAAAAAAAAATTGGCATTGAAAACAAAACCAGTACTAAAAAAGGAAACATAGGCATTAAAACATTTGTATTGGCACTGAAAAAAGAAACTAATTAAAATAATTAAAATCTTAAAATCTTATTATTTTATTTTATTGGGAT